AAATTTTAAATTTAAAATAATATTTATTATATAGTATATATTATTAATTTAATAGTATAAAATATTTTAAAATTATTTATTAAATAAAGAAATTAATAAATATATTTTTAAATATTCTATAAATCTTTAAACTATTATATTAAAGTTTATTAAAATAATAAATAATTTTATTAATATTATTAATATTTAATATTACTTTTTAATAAATATTATTATTTAAGTTTAATAAATAATAATATTAACTTAATATAATATTAAGATTAATAGACTTTTAATAAAAGGTATTAAAAGTATATATAAGATAGATTTTTAGAAAGAAACTTTAAAAAATTTATATACCTTTAAATAAATAAAATTATTTTTAAATATTATTTTATATTAACTTTAATTTAAATACCTTTATAAGATAGAATTTTATATATTTTATATTAAAAACTTTTATAATTAAAAGAGCCTTTAATATATATATAAAGAAATATATTTAATATTAAGTTTAGAAATATATTTCTAAATTAGAAATATATATTTTAATTTAAATTAATAAAATATTTAAGATATTTTTAAAACCTTTTATTAAACTTTAAAAGCAGTTATATATAACTATCCTTAAAGGATTATTATATATTTATATAATATATAATAATTTAAAAGCTTTAATAAAAGAATTTAAAAAAGTTAAAAAGATTCTTTTTAATAAGTAATTTTATTTAATTTATATTATAATTATATATTAATTTATTTAGAAATATTATTTCTCTAAACTTATAAAAACTATTAAAGTTAGCTTAAATAAATTAAAGAAATACTTTTATATTAATTAATTAAAGTTAATATAAAAGTTATAAACCTTTTATATTAATTTTAGTTTTAAACTTAAAATATAAAATATTTTATTTTTAAAAGAATAAGTTATTAAACTTCTATCTTTATATAAAAGTTAATATATAGTTTATTTTAAAGGATAAGTTTAATAAATAAGTTTAAAATTAATTTATATTTATATATTTATTAATATTTTATAGAGTTAAAATAGAATTATATTCTTTTAATAAAGATATATATAATACTTTACTTATAAATTTACCTTAAAATACTCTTAATTCTAATAATAAATTTTATATTAAATTTTTAATAAATATTAAAAATAAATATAATATTTATCTTTAAAAATATACTTTAACTTTAAGGTATTTTTAATTATTTTATTTTATATATTTTATTTACTAATAATTAATAGTTAAATTTATTTAAATATTAGAAAAATAATAAATTTTAATATCTTATATTAAATATATTAATTTAAAAATATTTTATTATTTTAACTACTTTTATTATTATAAAAAATATTTTCTATTATTAGTTATATTATAATTAAATTAAAGGTTAATTTTAATATAAAATAGTAGGAAATTAATATTATTAAAAATTAAAGGTTTAATAGTATTTAAGAGTTAGAGGTAGAAATTTAGAATTTAGAGAAATTAGTAGAGAAGAAGTAGAAAAATAATTTAAAATAATTTATTTTATTATTTCTTTTTAATTTAAATTATATTTAAATAATTTATTTTAAAAAATAATAATTTATTTTATTTTAAATTATTTAATTAAATAAATTATAAATTAAATTAAAATAATTATATATTTTATACTTTTAAAATTAATAAAAGTTATTTTATTATTATTTTTTTAATAAAGTTTTTTAAAGATTTATAAATTACTCTAAACTTCCTTATTTTCTAGTTAGAAACTAAAAGTTACCCTAAATTTCCTTATTTACTAGTTAGAAATTAAGAGTTACTTTAAACTTCCTTATTTACTAATTAGAAACTAAAAGTTACTTTAAACTTTTTTATTTACTAATTAAAAACTAAAAGTTACCCTAAACTTCTTTATTAATTATAGAAAATAATTATTAAATTAAATACTTTTATAAATTTTTAATATTCCTTTAATATTTAATAAATATAAAATAAAATTAATAATATTTAAATTATTTAAATATCTTTTATTATATATTTTATTTAACTTTTATTTAACTTTTATTTAACTTTTTATTTAACTTTTTATTTAATTTTCTCTTTAACTTTTTATTTAACCTTCTATTTAACCTTCTATTTAACTTTTTATTTAACCTCCTATTTAACTTTTTATTTAACCTTCTATTTAACCTCTTATTTAACCTCCTATTTAACCTTCTATTTAACCTTCTATTTAACCTCCTATTTAACCTCCTATTTAACCTCCTATCTAACTAATAATAAGTTAATTAATAAAAATAAAAAAAATAAAAGAAAAAAAGATAAAACATACTATAAGGGACTTACTAGAAATTAAACCTAAATCTTTCCTCTACTTAAAAAGATTTTAACCACTAAACTATAAATCTAAATATAATATACCCTATATTCTTTTAAAAATTCTATTAACTAAAAGATATATATATTAAATTAAAATTTAAATAAATTAAAAATCTAATAAATAAATTATTTAAATATTAAAAATATATAAATTTTAATTTTAATATTATAATATTAATAATATTTATTATAAATAATATATATATTTATTATAAATAATATATATACTAAAAGTTACTTTAAACTTCCTTATTTATTAGTTAGAAACTAAAAGTTACCTTAAACTTCTTTATTAATTATATAAAAATAATTATTAAATTAAATACTTTTAAAAAAACTTTAATATTCCTTTAATATTTAATAAATATAAAATAAACTTAATAATATTTAAATTATTTAAATATTTTTATTATATACTTTATTTAACTTTTATTTAACTTTTATTTAACCTTTTATTTAACCTTTTATTTAACCTTTTATTTAACCTCTTATTTAACCTTCTATTTAACCTTTTATTTAACTTTCTATTTAACCTTTTATTTAACCTTTTATTTAACCTCCTATTTAACCTCCTATCTAACTAATAATAAGTTAATTAATAAAAATAAAAAAATAAAAGAAAAAAAGATAAAACATACTATAAGGGACTTACTAGAAATTAAACCTAAATCTTTCCTCTACTTAAAAGATTTTAACCACTAAACTATAAATCTAAATATAATATACCCTATATTCTTTTAAAAATTCTATTAACTAAAAGATATATATATTAAATTAAAATTTAAATAAATTAAAAATCTAATAAATAAATTATTTAAATATTAAAAATATATAAATTTTAATTTTAATATTATAATATTAATAATATTTATTATAAATAATATATATATTTATTATAAATAATATATATACTAAAAGTTACTTTAAACTTCCTTATTTATTAGTTAGAAACTAAAAGTTACCTTAAACTTCTTTATTAATTATATAAAAATAATTATTAAATTAAATACTTTTAAAAAAACTTTAATATTCCTTTAATATTTAATAAATATAAAATAAACTTAATAATATTTAAATTATTTAAATATTTTTATTATATACTTTATTTAACTTTTATTTAACTTTTATTTAACCTTTTATTTAACCTTTTATTTAACCTTTTATTTAACCTCTTATTTAACCTTCTATTTAACCTTTTATTTAACTTTCTATTTAACCTTTTATTTAACCTTTTATTTAACTTTCTATTTAATCTTTTATCTAACTAATAATAAGTTAATTAATAAAAATAAAAAAAAATAAAAGAAGAAGAAATAGAATATATAAGGGACTTACTAGGAATTAAACCTAGATTTCTTTTTCTATTTAAGAAGATTTTAACTACTAAACTATAAATCTAAGTATAACACCCCATTTACTTTTTAAAAATTCTATTTACTAAAAGGTATATATATTTAATAGAAATTTAAATAAATTAAAAATCTAATAAATAAAATATTAAAATATTAAAGAAGTATATAAATTTTAATTTTAATATTATATTATTAATAATATTTATTATAAATAATATATATATTTAATTTAATTATATAAAATAAAATCTTTTAATTAAACTTTTAAATTAAATATATAAATTTAATATAATATATTTATTAAATAAAATTATTATATATATTATAAAAGAAGGAATTTTAACAACACTATAATTAATATTATAATAAAGTTTTACTAAAATATTTAAAGAGTAAATAAATAGTATTATAATTTTATAATATAAAAGGAGTATTATAAACTTAAATAAATAACTAAACAACCCTACTTCTTTAATATTTAACTAATATAAATTTAAAATATAAAATTTAATACTAATATAATTAAAGACCCTTAATAATTATAAAAGAACTTTATAATATTAATTATTAACTTAATACCTTTAAACCTATAATAACCTTTTACTACCTTAAATACTATTTTAGGAATATAGACTAATAGATTATACTATTATACTATATAGTTACTTTTAAATTATTACTTATAAAAAACTTTTCATATATAAAGTTAACTCCAACCTTATATAAAATTTTATATTTATTTAAATAAATTATTAAAAATAATTAAACTTAATTTAATTATAATTTTTATTATTTATTTAAATAATTATATAAAGGAATATATATATTTAAAGTTAAGTAGCTTTTAAAAAATGAGTTATAGAACTCTACTTTTTTAATACATAAAGGTTTAAAGTTTAAATTATAATAAAATAAAATTATATTTTAATTTTTATATTTTATTTAATATTTATTATTTAAATTAAATTAAATTAAAGTATAATATTTTAATAAATATTTTAAATATTTAAAATTTTTAAAAATTAATTAAAAATAATAATTAATTTTAAAAATTTTAAAAATATTTCTTTTATACTTAAACTATATTATATAATTTAATATTTAATAAAATAAAATTTAATAAAAATAGACCTATTTTTTCTTTAGTTAAACTAAAAACTAAAGACTAATTTATAGATTAGTTTAGTTTTTAATCATAATTACTAACTAAAAAAAGATTTAGTTACTATTTCCTTAACTAAAAGTCTTTAATTTTAGTTAAGGCCTATAACTAAACTAATTTAGATTAATTTCAACCCTGGCTGCCATTGAACGCTACAAGCCAGTTCATTTGGTGAGACTGGCAACTCATTGAGGCACTTGATGATGTAATGCTTGTGTTTGTAGATGCACCTGAGTACTCCAGTGCGCTGGTCGCCAGATTGAGTATGTCGGCGACATCTCCATATCCAAAGCTGTGACACAATTTGATTTGGTCAGCCCATGGATCCTAATGCAACCCAAATGATCTATGGCTATCAAAAAAAAAAAAAAAAAACGGTCGGGACTTACTTTGCAATTTTGTCGATTGAACTCGGACATTCGAACCACATGGTGCAATCACCGTAGCCCGCGAATAGTGTAAACTCGGTCGCGGCGGCGTTGCAAGGCTCGGAGAAATTGCCCTGCGTGTCGGCGAGAATTTTGGTCTCATTTGCGAGCTGTTTACAATCGAAAGAAATTCTACTCTGGTTGCTCTAGTCGCCATACTCGTAACCGGTACCGATCACCCCGGAGCACAGGCGGGCATCAGCTGTTGCGACGACGGGTTCCACGTCAGCCCGGTTGGTTGGGTGTAGACGATGGGCTACGGAAGCGGCCGGAGACACCGGCGATGCCAACGCCAAGCGACTGATGATTGATAGAAACGTGAGGAACCATCTGTTATTCATTTTGTCTTGAGCGAAGAGGTCTGAGGTTCTGTCAAGGGAGCGATGCTGTTGGTGGGGTGATGTGTGAACAGTTCGGTGTTTGGTGATTGTTAGACGATTCATCATAAATTTGGAGGGGAAAGTCGCGTTTTTATACCCCTGGAGCTTTATGGTGTCATGGTGTGTGTGTGTGATGGACAAAATCTTGCGATGGACTGAGTTATCTAAGTCGTGTCAGCCCTCTGCTGGGTCAACTGGTCTCAAGCGCGGCTCAACCAACCCCAGGCTCAGTCACTCACTCACTCAACAACTCAATCCGTTTCCATCCGTCATTCACTACCAACGGATGTTTTCATGGGCTCAAAATGGCGAGGTTATCATGATGAGTGGCTGTGAGTGACCAACTCATTAAGGTTCCTCTACCTAGGTGAACATCTCAATGTTTGAGTGAGGGTCCGTGTCTGAACACTTCCCACTGAAGTCCAATTCGAATCAAATTCTCATTAAATCTCATTTACTTCTCAAACTTGTACCCAAGGAAATAATCGGCGACCTGCCCTCTTTGGTTGTAGTGCCATTCTCTTCAACCCTCACGTTATTTCAGCCTGCTGGTCCCCCCCTTCCATCTCCAGTGCCTCATTCACCATTTAAGTGAGAATTCTTGAACTACCAAGGGTTCACTCGACTAGAGCATCTCCTCCGACTGTTGCAGCTCACGATTCACCCTCACCCTCCCCGTCTCGAGGTCGCCGTCAATCCGCGCCAGCTCCATGTCCACCACATCGGCCCCCTTTGGGAACCGCTCCGACGAAACGGTAGATGTGACTCCTGTCTTTCCTTCATTGCCCCTGTACGCTGAGCGCATGTTGGTATTGTTGTCGTGCCGGTTCCATGTGGGGACGAGGGGCCTCTTTCCAGAAGACGTGTAGTCCATATTCCCAGTCCTGGTGACGCCGGTCCTGCCTCCGCCGTGGCTGTTGAAAGCGCCGGGGTCCGCCAGGCGCTGGGCAATGAGTGTGCCTAGCGGCAGCACAATGATTAGGGATGTGTAGACCAAGGACCCCGTCTCGATGATGAACTTTTGAGAAACCTGCATCGAGATCAAGACCACTGTTTTTTGTGTCCGCGTCAGCCATACTCTCGAATTGCTGTTAGAATGGTCAGGCTTACCAGGGATCAACATCAGCACGCCATTGGTCATTACCAGCATATCCATCGCCGCGACGCCCTTGGTGCTCGGCAAGAAGCTGCGGTTCTGCACCATGTGCATGCCAAGCCGGAGCATAAATATGAAGCAGAACCAGCAGATGCACGTGAGCTCCAGCGCGAGATACACGTACCGCAGGAACAGACGCCTGGGCAGGTAGACGGCAGGATTGTAGCCCGGGTAGTAGGAGCGGATCTGGTCCGACTGCACCGCAAGCATGAATGAGACCTCAGCAAGCGACAGCAGGGCCGACACGACCAAGATACCCCATTTATAGGTGCGAGACCACAGCGTGACCATGGCCCACGCCTGCAGCATGAGTGCTGCCATCATTAGGAGATTCTGCGGGATGACTAGGGCAACTGAGGCCACGCTGTTGCGGAAGTCGGAGTCGCTGACGAAGCGCTGGTCCCCGCCATACAGCACGTAGAACTGTGTCCACGACGATTCAAAGTAGATTGCGAGGAGGATCGTCCGTGGGAGGTTGTTGATGAGCGCGACCATGTTGATGATCGAGGCCGCCCGCCAGAGCTTGCTCTTTGGCGTCAGGGCCAGTAGGACGAATAGCATTATCAGGCTCGCGCCGAACTCCACGGCGTAGTCAATCGTCTTGCCGACGATGTATGATTGGTTGAAATCGATCTCTGCAAGTGAGATCAACATCCCGGAGCCGTCTGGCATTGTCAAGGTGATGTTCTGGTGGAGAGGATCTTCCATCGCCAAAGCCGTGTAGTTCAGGCTGGGATCAGGCATCCTGGCATCGTTGATGTCTCCTCGCGACATCTGTACTCACTCAAGATCAGTAAAACGGCATTCAAATAATGAGATCGATTGATTCTGCGTCAACTGGGGCGATACAACTTGCCTTGGATCTGTTGAACGTCAAAATCTTGGTCTCACGATAGATACTGAAGTGTGCAGTGAGCTTGAAAGCTCCTCGCCAATGCGCGTCAAGACCGGTGTCGGCGAAAACCAAGTATGTGTTAATTCGACTTTTGTAAGCTGCTTATTGGGAATTTTCTATGGGAGAGTGTATCGACGGTAAGGAAGCACTTGGATCCTGATTCAACCTCTGTTCGAGATTCTTGGCTTGCGTTGGGGTGTGAGAACACCAGGTTGAGGGCTCCAAAACAACTCAGGGAGGTGCCCAAGGGTTCAAAAAGCCGCAAAGAATCCAGTCGAAAATGATTCTGGTCTTCAGTGGAAATGCAGTCTCATAAATCATCAAAAGCCGTCGTCTGGTGGCTTCTGGGCCAAGCCGGCACCAAGATCAGGAGGCACCGTGTTGACGTCGTGGTTGCGGACAAAGAGAATGGTGCGTCTGCTGGAGCACAATACTAAGGAGTTTCAAGTAAAATATGAAAACAACCTTTCTATAACGGAAGGATCATATTTTTTTGTGGCAAAACGCCCAAATGTAGACGTGTTACTCTGCTGTGGCGGCCGAATGGCATGTGGCTTCATATTGTGCTGGGGACGCGTTAATATTGTACTCTCAGCTCCGATTTGGGAAGCCCGGCAACCCGCTCCTGAAACCCCTCAACTATACCACTTTGACTGCACTGCAGTCTTGGACAAGCTATTTATGGAAAGCATTCTCGGCAGTTGTTTTCAGCCCAGGCGGTGCGTCAGTTTCCCACCTGGCCGACTTACACAGAGGCAACGTTGAAGAACTTTGCAGTCTTGATGTATCAAATTGTCTTGAAGAACTCTTGCTATTCTACATTTTATGGACCGTAGCCGAATTACCAAGGTCCTTGCACTTCTTTCCAGTCAGCAAGCCAGCAGGCGGAAACGGAGCGATCAGCCGTATCCACTGGCAGACCACGATTTCGTGCGACCCGGTTATCACAGGTGTCCTAAGGTAGAATCGCCCAGAACGATCTGTGCTTGATATTCACATGTGATGGCTAGTGATTATCGTTGTCTCTAGGCATCTCATTGCAGGCTTTGGAAGGTATTCGGGGCCCAAATTTGCTGTGTGGACCTGCCTACCCAGGTATCGCATACACGAAGCACCACCACCAAACCTGTCCGCTTCGGACTAACGGTACATCCTGGAGAAGTTTGAAGTAGTTTCGCGTCTTTCTCACCAACGCTGATGACTTGCCCTTAATTTGGAAGACTTCCTACATATTGCTGATAGGGTCGAGAGACTTCCAATCGGAATGCATGATAGGGCATATCTAAGCGAGATCATAATCGCTGGTGGTCGTTTGTCCAAGCCTTTTATTTTAGAGTGGTCAAGCTTTGCCGACCAAAGCATTCTCATGGAGCATTCTTAGAATAAGTCTCACACCCAAGTGACTTCAGTCCTTGTAATTGACCGAGCCATGCAAATCTGTCATGCATCGTCACAGCCCCTCTTGCGCTATTCTTCTCGCGGGCCGCAGTCTTCTGCAGACCTCGGGAACCTGCATAATGATGGTCGTATGTGCGATATTTTTAGCGGGCGTCTTGCACAATCACCGTTCTGGAGACACAGCCACCGAGATTTGACGGAAACCGGAAGTGCTCATAGGTGTCGTAGGTTACAATATGCATCAGTTGGCTGCACAACAGAGTGTTGGCATTGTGCGCGGGGGCGGCGCATTATCGTACCACTTTGTACGGTGACCAACAGAATTCGCACCAACATGTGCCCAAGTCAAGCGCTCAAGGCAGAGCTGAAACCAGAGCCAACAAGCAGACCAGCCTTTGGAGTGAGAGGGGGGCTTGGCGAACATCGTGACATATAAAACCGCCGCCGACGGATCATCTGGCATGAACTTTCCATGCAACACAACCCTAACAATCGAGCTGCCAAGAACTACTTCCGCAATGGCTGAACCACAAGAAACCTCTCCTTCAGCCCCCACCACTTCAGGGCGGCTCATCAAGTACACTGCAGGCCACTACAGGAAAGCCGGGATCTCCCACGAAGATTTTATCCACTGGTTCACCCACGAGCACCTTCCTGCAGCGATGCCCCTTTTCAAGAAACACAACATTGTCAAGTACACGCTGGTATGCTCACACCCCCTTCCAATCTCACACTCCCGGCGTGATCATGATTTCTTATGCAAAACGCCGTGTATAGTTTGTCACACCTCCCGAAATTGGCGCCGCATTCGGGCAGGAGCTATCGAAGGTTTACCCCGGCTGGGAGATCAGTGACTTTGATTGCGTTCTCGAGTACTGGATGTACGACCTCAATGCGCTCAAGGACATGGTTGCCGACCCTGACTGGGCAGCGAAGGCCGTGAAGGATCAGGATCAGTGGTGTGACTTGTCGAGATCAACTGTACACATAGGGTTTGACACGCCGTACCTTTTGGAGAGCGGCGAGGTCGTCAATCTGCCCAAGTGACAAAACACTTCAGGTTGACTGTTATCATCATAGATTCAAGCCAAGCCACGGTATATCGACAAGACAAAGATCATTTGCAAAGAAAGTATTAGAGGACACAAATTCAATTATAGACCCAGCTTAAAAGCTGTAGATCCCTATGTCCACCACACTGGCAGCGCTCCCGATGCCGCTGTCTTAGCTCTAGTTGGCCGCCTTCGCCTTCTTGCCCTTCTTGCCCTTCTTCTTAGCGGGGCTGTATTAATGATGTATCAGCCCTTCAGCTCGAGACGGGACAGATTCACAAGACACGGATTCGCGCCATCCAAACTTACCTTCGCTTCGTGATGTCTCCGTCATCCTCGACATCATCGTCATCGACATCGCGGGCAGCAGCTGCTGCTCCCTTGGCTTTCTTGCCTTTCTTGCCCTTCTTCCCTTTGGCCGGACTTGTGAAAGTAGGCTCAGCTTCAGAGTTGATTCAAGATCCAATGTCATGAGGTGTTGGTACTCACAGGCGCTTCTCGAGCTCAGCGTCATCGTCAGCTTCGTCGTCATCATCGGCGACGTCACGAGCGGCGGCAGCAGCACCGGTTTTCCCCTTCTTGCCCTTCTTCTTCTTGGCCGGTCTTGTATATATCGTCAGTGGGTGTACTATGAAGAGTAACTGAATATCTGGACTTTGGTGGCAGTGCTCACTCGCGGCTCTCGAGGGTCGTCACATCGTCTTCATCTTCATCTTCCTCATCGACTGCACGGGCGGCGGCGGCGGCACCCTTGGCCTTCTTCCCCTTCTTGCCTTTCTTTCCTTTGGCGGGCTCCTGCTCCAGCAATCAGTTATTCGGTTCTTGAAGGCCACGGGATACAGTTCGACGTACGCGTGCGGCAAGTTCAACCTATAAGAATATAAATATCAATATAAGTCAACCTCGCTATTAGAGATACAGGTACTGACTATGTTTGCTCCCTCATCAAGAGGAGCCGCCATGGCAGGAACAGCAAGAGCGGCAGCTGCGGCCTAGGTACATCATATTAGCATGTTGGTATTACAAAAGAAATGGGGGGCAGCCTCACAACAGCCCTACGAGCGACTGAATTGGTGCTTGGGGCCTGGAAGCCCGAGACAGCCGTCGAGGCTGCCAGGGCAGCAGCGAGGACCTGAATGAGGGAAGGGGTCTGCATCTTGTTGATTTATACTGGCCCACCAGGGGTCGAGATCTAACAGAAAATTATGGATAACAGGAAAAGATGACTCGATTTGAGAACGAAAGCGGTGCACGAGGAGAGGGGCCACGACTGATGCCAAGACGTCCAGCCCGTCCCGACTTTATATGCATGTCCCGAGGAGGGCCCAGGACCACAAGGGAGGGGCTCGTCGGCATCGTCGCTTCGCGTAAGAAACATGTACAGAGTTCGTAATCGTGCTGAACCCGCACCTGGGTGAAACCAACTCATGGAAATATGCTCATCATTCGTGACAACCTGCGTAACCCGGCTAACCAGAGATGCCGAAGTGCATCACTGCTGTGCATTGATCCCAACTACGGGACCTTTGGATAACGAGTCTCGGCCCTGCGGCATTGATGTCTGGCCAGTTGCCTGTTCACGCCAGTCTGTGCGTCGTGCCGTCTGGCGAGCCTTGCGAGCGGTTTCACGAGTTGGCACTTCACGTTGTTAGGTGTTTGAGGCTTGGCATAATTGTTTGAGGCTTGGCGTTTCAATCATCTGATTATATTTCGGATGGTATCCGGGGTGACAATAACTTTATTTCCCGGATGTAGGGAGTCAGGTTTGATCGTCGCGGTGCTAGGTACCGAGCCTAGTTAGGGGATGCTGCAATCACACGTACCGTGACGGCGACAGGATGGTGAGATTCTGGTGCCAAGAGCTTGACACCTTCAAATAATTTGCTCCTACAACGACAAGAAGCAGCCTGAGAAGAAGTACCCACCTACCTATACATGTCGGTACGGGATGTGGTATGAAACGATGCCGCGTGGCGAAGCCTGATGTGCGATTGAGTCGGGGCTTCAATAGTGCCGCAACTCAGCACTGATGGCCATGTATTTACCTGCTCAGTAGATATGTTGACGTGTATATTCCCTGGGTTATCCACAAAGACTAGACTAATTGCGCGTGGCGTCAGTACGCTTAGACTCAATTGACGTATGCATTCGTAAGCCTTTTGGTCGACTAAGGGCTTTGATAAGTCCGGAATGTTAGTGTCAGTATTAAACCCTTAGAACCTGTAGATCATGGAGGTGAGAAATATGCGAGTTGTTTGGAGAAACAGCCTGAGAAGCTGGAAGAGCTCTGTAGACAGCCAAGAAGATTCATACGACCTACCAAGGTAGCTTTGCCCTCCCCCCCCCCCGACAACTGCGTCGAGAAGGCCGAATCTATTCGGAAATGCCTGGGTAGCGAGTGCAGGCTGTCAATAAGATAGAGAAATCAAATCCTAATGAGATAACCAGTAAATAGTGTGATCTAGAATTTGAGTAGATTTTAGCTTGTCAGCCAATGATAGGAACGGTCAACCCGCCGGCCTGCTGCGACTTGCTACATTCTCGAGCAGCAAATTCCCCCGTAGGCCAGTTCCCACTGGGTCAAAGGTAAGTAAGTGGCTTGATGAAGGACGGCGGAAGAATGGTCACAAGATGAGTAGACAAGACCCAGGCGAGTGGTCATTACGTAAGCGGTTCTTGAGCTCTTTGGGGCTTGGGCGGGACCTGTAACTATCTCGCCATTCAAAAATATTACCGTCGGCGGCCGAGAAAGCAGCAACTCGCCCATGCGAAGTGGTCACCATGGCCGGCGAAAAGATCCCGACCAACCAGCCGGAGAAGCTCAATGATCTCCTCAAGCAGGAGAGGCGCGACTATGACTGCACGCCATGCCGCATCGTGGGCAAGTTGCACCCCCCCCCCCCGGACCATTTGACCCTCTCCCGTGCCGACTTTCGCTGACCAGCGCTGTGTCGTTGAAACAGGAGGCGCGACGTTTCTCGGCCTCGCTGGCTACAGCTACATATCGGGCATGAACCAGCTCGACAAGCAGCGCGCTGCCATCCTCAAGAGCAACTCCTGGTTGAGCATGCGCAGCCGGAAGATGGGAATCGGAGGTCTGTCGCTGGGGCTGGCGTATATGGGGCTGTATAGGTTGTTTGGATGATTTAAGAGGGGTATGGGAGAGGACAAGAAGAATCTCTGCTCAACAACTACAATCAAGCCTCGAGAGGTGGCACGGCACTGCAACAAGCGTGCATCCACGCGCCCTGAACAGTGCCCGTATGGGCCAGCTGGGATCCAGAAACGTTCAGTCAGGCTCTTCTCAAGGACCAGGAAGTTAATGACGGGTCTTGGAAGCTATTTACCTACCTGGAAGGCTGCTCCAGCCGCTGCGAGCGACGAGCTCTGGGAGCTGTCGTCCAGGACGGCCCGTTCGCCGGCTGCGCCCAGCTGGACTTGCGATAAGATAAGCCGCATCTGCGACTGAATTCAAGCTCACTCGAGCTGTGAGGCAACGACCGGTGAATAGATCTACAGCTCTAAATCACAGCAGAGGCCTTTTTAATCCCATATCTGAGTGACCTCTTTCCAGTCGGTTTTTCACCTCGTAAAAGCACATACGTATTGTTGTCCCTTCACGTTGTCAAATCTCATCCGAGGCCTTCAGTCCTGAATTGGCAACCTCGAAATTTCAACCTTGACCAAATACAGCAAACGACGATCTCAGAATCATCGATACAAACAATACCCACCAGTCCCCAAAAATCACTTCTAAGCACCAAAGGACATTTCGGAGAATCTGCGATACCAATCAACCGGAGGGAGGGCACGGCAGACTCAACACTTGAGAACCGCACCTGAGCGCAGTCGCCGAGGGCGGCCGCATCAACGCCCAACATGGCCATCACAATCATACAACCCAAACCAGTACCCCAGTACACACGGCGCAGATCATCAGCAGGCTCAGACACAGACTCAGACGATGGCGGCGCCGACATCGAAGGCGACATCAGGATGGCGACAGGGCGCTCGGCAGCCAGCCACAGCGACATCGTCACGCCGGGCGAGGTGATCACGACCAACCCGCAGTGGATGCGCGGCCACGGCACCTATACCAGCACCCCACAGGACGGCGGCGACCACGGAAACGGCGGCGACGACGACAGCACGGCCATCGTGTCGTCCCTGGCGGGCGTCATCACGCGCACCAACAAGCTGCTGTCGGTGCGGCCCCTGCGCGCCCGCTACACCCCCGAGGTGGGCGACCTGGTGGTGGGCCGCATCGTCGAGGTCCAGTCGAAGCGGTGGCGCGTCGACGTCGGGTCCACGCAGCTCGCGGGCCTGCCGCTGTCGGCCATCAACCTGCCCGGCGGCATCCAGCGGCGGCGCACCGAGACGGACGAGCTGGCCATCCGGTCCTTCTTCGCCGAGGGGGACCTGCTCGTCGCCGAGGTGCAGCAGCTCTACGCCGACGGCGGCGCCGTGCTGCACACGCGGTCCCTGCGGTACGGGAAGCTGCGCAACGGCGTGTTCCTCGCCGTCGCGGGCACGGGCGGCGGCGGCGGGGTCGTGCGCAGCCGCAGGCAGGTCTGGACCATGGAGGTTGGCGCGCTGCAGTCCAAGGTCGACGTCGTGCTCGGCGTCAACGGCTACGTCTGGATCAGCAAGCACGTCGAGGACCAGAGCCTGGCGGCTGCCGGCGGGGGCTCTGCCGGTGGTGTCGGCGTGACCAACATGGAGGAGAGCGTCAGCCAGGCCGTCTACAGCAGCCAGAACGACTACATTGAGATCGAGGTCATGAGGGAGATCACGCGGGTCAGGGGCGTCATCACCGCCCTGGTGGAAAATGGCCTGCGGGTGGATGAGGACATGATCGTCAAGGGGTACCATGAGGCCGTGGAGATGGCGAGGCTGGGTGACCTGGGCGAGGAGGATGTCTACCTGGGCGGCGAGAGAGGCGAGCAGCTGGCCGCGGCACTCGTGCGACGGTAGAGGGTGTCAGAAGGCCACGTGCCCCAAGCAAAATAAATGGATCTCAATGTCGACTACATTGCTGTAATGATTCTATATCCAGTCGCCGTCCCAGTTCCTACCACGCCGTGATATCGCAACACCAAAGAACGCCAGATTAGGGTATTGTTCACATTTCCCAGAGACACACCTACATGCCGCCGCTCATTACGTCCCCCCTAGCCATAGCCCGTCTAAACATCTCCGCAAAGCCCTGCGTGCCGTGGCAGTCACTGGCCTCGCGCTTCTCCATGGCCTTGGGCAGCCACCCGGTGATGCGCTCGATACGGTGCTGGTTCGACGGGTGCGTGGACGCCCACTCGGGGACCTCGACCTCGCTCTGCTGGTGCATGCGGTCCATCCTCTGCCAGAAGGTGACAGCCTCGCGCGGGTCATAGCACGCCTCGGCCATCATCATCAGGCCGATGTAATCGGCCTCGCTCTCCTGCATGCGGCCCATGGGCCGCGAGAACAGCAGGCTCAGCAGGTCGCCGCCAAACAGCCAGCCGGCGATGAAGGTGAGCGGGGTGGCGGCCAGCAGCATCAGGGCGGACCCGAGGAAGAAGGACTCCCCGATGGACTGCGACAGGCGCTCGCCAAAGTGCTTGGCCAGGTTGTGGGCGATCTCGTGGCCCAGCACGGCGGCCAGCTGGCTCTCTGTGCGCGCGAGGGCCAGGATGCCGCTGTAGACAAAGACCTTGCCGCCGGGGAGCACGAAGGCGTTGGCCGTGGTGCGGTCGTCGATGACGTGCACCTCCCACTTGGTGCCGTCGTCGACGCCGCTCACGGGGATCAGGCGCGCCATGACGCGGCGCACCATGAGGGTGCGGGGGTCCCAGTCGCCCAGGAAGCGGGCGCCGGACCGCTCCATGTCGTAGATGAGCCGCTTGTACTGCATGTCCGACATGTCCTGCACCGTGGCCTCCGAGTAGCAGTTGAACCGCCTGCGCCCCGACACGGGGACCACCTCGATGTTGTACCAGTAGAAGGCCAGGGCGAGGGCGATGGAGACGACGACGACGGTGTGGGTGCGCGGGGAGCGGATTATGGTCCTGGCGTTGCCCCTGAAGAGGGGCTTTGCGTTGCGCAGGCGGTGGTGGTACCACGGGTCACCCAGGTTTGGGTCATAGTCGACTTGTGGTTGTTTTCGCGGGTCGATCTCACGGGGGCGGATCGATGAGTGGGAGAAGAAGCGGCGCGGGAGGGTCGATGCTGGAGGGATCGGGCGGATCAGAGGGGTTGGTATTCGGGGCGACGAGATCAAAATCGAGGGTGCTATGCGACGGGGCCGTGTGTTTGTGAAGCCTCTTGAGGGCAGGTGGCTGGGCAGAGGCCACTTGAGGCATTGTCGCGATGCCATGACGGCAGCTTCGACGAGCCCAGCGCGCGGGCAGGGCTGTCCTAGGCGTCGCTATATTTCCTCAGGGGGAGTTTCTGCAGATATGTGGTCACCGTGTCCCATCCATGGAAGGATGATAGGGAAATGGCGGTGGTGGCTTCAAAAGCTGGCGACTTGTCCTATAGAATGCGACATGGTTGCTTTTGCTCTGCGGGCGCATCGATGCGGGATGCGACGGCTGGAGGCGGGTGGTGGGGTTCGTCAGCCTAACCCGTGCCTACTCTGTAGCTCTACGGAGTACCCGGGTAAGCAATGGCCTAGCTAGAGGCAACCCCAAGGCAGATCTCACATTCGAAATTCCTAACCAGCAGTACCCTTCTATTCATTCTTGCTGGTCCGAAAAGAGGATACCCTTTTAGCTATTGGTACCGACCATATGTTGAGGAATATCGCACCTATATGCACGTATTAAGCCGCGGCAGCATCTGAACAATCCACCAATTTCGGCGGCTTTGAATCGTACTCGGTACCTGGCTGGCCCAGAGCGTGGCCTTGCATGACGTCTTCTTGGGCCTAAAGTCCGAGTGATGTCTGTCCCCTGAGGCCCTGACCCCTGTCCCTCACGGCAACACCCAACCAGGCCGTGACAGATGAGCCGAGGTCCATCGTCGCTCTACCCCAGATTCGCGGGTCTCGCCTCGTGCCGTCCACCACTTTGCCCATTCAAGTCGGCGACATTTCCAATCATCTTTTCTCGTCACCACCACCTTCAACCACCGTGCTACCGCATTCACCTCACACCACCATCTAAATTCACTTCTCTTCTTTCCATTTCATTCCTAGTCCACCACATCACAGCCTCACAACATGTCGGCCCAGTACTCCGTAGCAGACGTCGCCAAGCACAAGGACGAGAGCAACGGCATGTGGATCATCGTCGACAACGGCGTCTACGACATCACAAGTGAGCATTCATTCCTTTTGATCCTTAGCATCATTACATCAACCATGAAGGTTCCTCCCTCTGACACACCGCAGACTTCCTCGATGAGCACCCGGGCGGCCCCAAGATCCTCAAGAGGATGGCCGGCAAGGACTCGTCCAAGCAGTTCTGGAAGTACCACAACGAGAGGGTCCTCGAGAAGTACGGCGACAAGCTCAAGGTCGGCACCGTCAAGGAGCAGGCCAAGCTGTGAGGCGGTGGTGCCAGGCCAGGAGACTCGTTTTATCTGATAGACCGCGGGGGTGAAGGTGGTACTGGCGCACCGGCAGTGTACAAGTACAGCTAGACGCCGTTCCTTCGGGGTCCGTGGAGCATCGGCGCCACGGCGATTCAGGTGCGGATCCGGGGCTCATTCGGTGGGCGGTTGTTACGTTGATTTAGAAGCGATCTTGAATATATCTACACCTCGTCTGTGAACACGGTTGTGCGTTCCAGTGTGCATCTGGCGTGTCGTCAATCAGCCTAAGCCGCGCTTGGTCTTCACGACATCTGTGGTTTTCTAGCCGCAGGCACGCGTACCTGGGGCCCCGAGCCGGCGGAGCCGAAACAGGCTGGGTCTAAACCTAAATGCCGTCTCCGTTCAGATTGTGATGATGCAACCTGTTTTCTGAGACCGGAAAGGCAAGTGAGATGGTTTGTACCATTGTGAAGTTAGAGGATGTGAGTCGTGGAGGTATGTAGTTGCGGAAACAAAGAGATTTGTGACCTGTTGCAACTAAACTATGAGCTGCGCGTTTGACAACATCACTACTTGCAGGTTGTTGCCTTGGTATTCTACAGAGTTTCAAGATGGTCTCGTAGCTTTTATCCACCGGAAAGACTTAGTTTCGATTTTATGAAATGAGACGGGACAGATTCAGATTGACTCCAGGGCTTCTCTCTTTGCCCTAGGGAAGGGTTTAAGCACTTGGGGTACATATTATAACCGCGGATTCCAGATTGTTTATTTTTCACAATATAGACGCCAGAACGACCAAGAAGTCCCCTCACTATTCGAACACCCATCAGATCCGATCATCATGACCCACAAATTGCCCTTCAAAATCGAGTCCAGCTCAACCGAGGAGCTGGTCTTCCTTCTGGACAGCCTCATCAACTCATCCCTCTGCCCACATACGAAACACTGGATCTGTTATCTATACTTGCGTCGTTACCCGTGGGTTGCTATCGAGCTGCAGCTTTCGGTCCACGATTTCCAAGAAGGCCGACCCGTCGTAGAGTACTGGAACACCTCGAAGCCAACCCCTCTCAACCTCGCCGAGCTGGCATCTCATATCAAAACCCTCAGCAGGCCACACTCCCGGATCACGAGCCTCGAGCAGGCCCAGCTGTGGAAACTCACCACCGACCAGTGGACGTGGCAGCAGGCGTGCGAAGTGGCACGCAAATATCTGCCAAGGAAGTCCACGTGGTTTGCTCTGCAGGGAAAGTTCACAGTGTGGGACTTTGTCACCGGTCGTTCTTTTCCTCTGTTCATCGAGAGGCACTGGAGGAGAATCTTATCGCAGTCCAGGCCAGATTTTGTCAACGCCCACTGGCAGCAGAGCCGCCAGCCCGACGGCCAGGATCGCTGCCAGTGTCCCGGCCACGAACTGGCGCCAATGCTGGCGTCACAGACATACGATACCTTGAACGGCGACATAGCAGAGGCCGTGATGGAGGAAACCCTATCCCATGTCGATCTGAGAATTATAATGGCCATGGGGCCCGATCTCTACCGGATACAGGAATTCGGAAGCCGCCAGGCCAGCAAGAAGGGGCTTGAGGATTGGTACGCACCGCAGAGCCCTGTGGGGAGATGGGGGAGTCTCTCTAAGTTCAAGGCCCTGGCCGCCGTCGCAGACCGCGTCGTGGGGGCGTTCGAGCGCATCCGGAATGATCCTGAGGTCATGTCTCTGGCTAGGGCGGATCTGGCTGAGGAGCGTGAGTGCTTGGCAAGAAAACTCAAGACGCGGTGATCTTTTATTGGCAAATATGGACAACACGCGGGCATAGGTGTTTTCAGCGTCCAAGTGTTTCCTGATAGCCTCCACCATGGCTTGAACTTTGAGGACGGCACGCCATCCACGGACACGTATCGAACTTCGTAATGGGAAGTTAAACTGAGAAGGCTTTGAGATAGATATCACGCAGGAAGAGGCTGAGAGTGACTTGGAAGCTGTGACCGCGGAGGAAATTGAGAGAGACCAAGACGAAATCAAGTTGGATAGTGGAGGGCGTGACCTTTTCATAGATATGCGCCGGGCACCTTTTCAAAAGCCGGACTAATAACTTGTCGTTCCTTCGATTGATACACTGTGTAGTCCCTAACAGAGCTACTTTGCAACTCGTGGGTAAGCATTCGAGTCTGATCTGACCTCGAGGGTCCTTCTACTAGCACCGTAGCTCCTACACCAGAGCCTCGTTCAAAGACTTCTCCGTGGTTATTACCTTTAGAGGCAATGAGAAAGTAATACTAAGAGTATATCTATCTTTAACTATATTAAAAGCTTAGTAGTTTTTACTTTAAAAATATAAGTATAAAAAATGTACTAATATAAACTAAATAGTATATACATATAAGTAATTCAATACTTAAATGAGGATTATTATTAATGTGATACTTAATATCGTATCATTCTTTGAAATACTACTTATTTATTTGAATTTTTTTATTTCAAGCCAAGTATACTTTGCTGTCGGTGCTCCGTCTCCCGTTGTGCATCGCCTCGCACGTCTGGTCCCAACCAACTTGCATCCGGCCACCAATCAAGGCGTACCGAGTCGTGCCGCGCCACCGTGTAAATTGAGGCCCCAGGAGCCATGCTGTGCCGCCTCTGCCACACCTCGACGCGCTGAGAAGCATTTTGGCAGCCATGCCGCACTGTGTCGCATAACCTGTCGAGCATCTACCTGCCCGCCTCCTCGCCTGAATAGGCAGACTCCCGTCTGCTGTTCTTTCCAGTTGGGCCCGCACCCAAGACCTCCTTTTGTTGCTCCATTTAGGACAAATTGCCGTCTCTGAATACCTTACCAAACAACAATACCGCTGAGCTCCAATAGTATGTCAGCTCCAAAGCAGACTCCAGTTCCAGGTACGGGCGCAAGTCGCCGCAATTCGAGAACTCAGGAGCAGGCGCCGCCAACTTCAATCGAGACGTCGCCAACCAAGCGGCTGCCCCTCCCCAGATGTCCTGGCCCGAAGCTTGAGCCGTTTCGAGGAACGGCCAGCGCCAATATCGAATTCATAGCCTTTATCGGTAACAATAACGACATGGATTCCAAGGTCTGGAAAGTTCGCATTGGGGGTGTTTTATATGTTCTCAAGATTGTAAGTACAACTACTACTACGCTGGGCAGCCCGCAAACTTGGGAGTTGCCTGGTGAACTGAGCACCCAAGGCTTTTTCCACTTGCGATTGTGTCTTTTAGCCAGCCGGCTAGTTCTAACCATAATTTCACACCGTTAGTTCCCCTATCAGAATTGGAAATATCTGGCCATGACCGAAGGTTCAAGAATCATGTTACCACACCAGGATCCCCTGAATCGGCCATTACCTACACCACAGGACTATATAGACTACCTTGACCCTTTCAACTGTGAGTTTCGAGCCTATGGACGCCTCAAGCAGGAGAAACGCGAGGACCTTGCTATTCAAGCTCATGGCTATGTCCTTCTGTCCAAGGACCAGGAGCGCCACGTCACTGAAACCATGACTGGTGATTTTGTGGACTGGGAGACCCATCCGGAGCCTCTTGATTGCGATGGGCTCTTCTGGCGCTGGGAAGCCCACCGGCATGAGCCGCTGAGGGCCATCGTGAAAGAATTCGACACATGCTCAATATCCTTTCTCCCATCGCAAGTTCCGCAGATGTACCGTGATCTCGAGGAGTTGCATAGACTTGGCATTCTGGTCAGGGATCTGCACGCGGCTAATTACCTGGGGGCAAAGCTCATCGACTTCAGCATGGCCTGGACCATGTACCACATTTGTATTGACCGGACGAGCTCTTTGGAAGTCAAGAGGATACGGTCGCTAGAGTGTGAAAGATTTGAGGCAACGGTGTATCAGGTGGCAGCTGAAGACCATTGGGAAGAAGATGATATCAAGTTGTTGCCGGAAGAACTGTTGAAATGGCATAGCAACAAGGTTGAGGATCTAGGATACGACATGCGATTGTACGATTGGCAGAAATGGGAAAAGACGGGATAATCAGCGGTTGGCATCATCCACTCCTGGAGCCTATTATAGCCGCCATTACATGCAATTCCAATCACACATCTACCTACCACTTATTCCAGTCCATCTGTCACTTCCACCCTTTTCTGCTCGCTGACCACGAATTTCAAGTCAACGTCACCATCGTAGCAAACATTCAAGCTGTCTCATCCCCGCGGTCTAGGACCCTAGCTTGAGCATTAAGCGTCTATGAAAAAGTCGTGTCGTTGAGTGTCGTGGGAAGGATACCGGTGGTCTGTCTATATGCATGGAGCAGAGCCCTGGAGAGCTGTTGCCTTGGCAGATCGCGCTGACGCCCGAACTAAATTCTTAAGGTCTATCTCCTCGGATTCATATGCTGATCTCGGGGACCTACCTGTGTAAGTAGTGACGCGCCCCCCACCCCCAAGGGATGCCAGGATTAGTATCTGAGGCACCGTCTATCTAGTGCCTCTGCAGCCCATCATTATGACCTCGGCGAATATACTGCGAGTTGGCTGGCAGTGGCTTCCAGTGACCCCTCGTCACGCAGCAAACGAAGTTAATCAACGTAACAACCCTCGTCTGTGTGTAGTGGCCAGCATATAGTAGGACATACTAGTATTGCATCTTTCATTAGTGGCGGTTGACACCCGGGCAGAGCTCACAAATCGAGATCTAGGTAAATCTAAGTGGTACCTCTGAGTTGGACTGCGACAAAAACACCAGAGTTTCCAATTGTCAGAATTCACTCCACAACGGTGACAATGATATATGCAAACTTTCGCTTTTGATTATAGTCGATATAATCACGGCATGCGGGACCGAACTTCTCCGCCCTCCTGACCAACCCTGCACCCTGCTGCGGCTGGCTTTCTGCCCACCTGCACTTGAGACCCAGGGCCCGCCCACTCTGGAGCGCTGCTGCCTGTGAGGTAGCCATCCAACTGGTTTGCCCACAACCCATTACCTCTGTTACCTACCTAGGTATCTACTAGGTACGCAATTCAATAACCAGCACGCTCTGTATCTTCTCACGCCACCGACTACCAAGCTATGGCAGACAAGGACACTTCTTTTAGCAAGGAAGTTTTCCGTCTTCGTGCCGAGTATGAGGAACGTCTCTTGGCCACGAATCTTGGCCCTCCCCGTGGCAAATCACTTCTCGACGTCGACGTCCATCTTGGCGACAAGTCTTGTATGACTCGCTGGTACGACGACGGCACAGAGCGTGGTCAGTGTGTTCGCATCTTCGATGTGCCGGATACTCTTTCGGGTGACATTTTACGTCTCTATCACGACTTGCCTAGCCTGTCAGGCCACTTTGAGATTGATGGGGATGATATACGTCCGCTGAACTCCTTTTTGGAGCCCCCGGAGCCCATAGATGACGACTCCGAGGACGTGAGTGATGCTGTGTCCAAGCTACCCTTCGTCTCTGTCGACCCAGCGAAGCACTTTGTCAAGAAGTGCAAGTACCGAAGCGAAATAGAGAATCTCATCAAGTGCCAGGGCGGCTCTGTACCAGGCCATCCACTATCTCCGAACATCATCCAGCTTCTTGGCAGGTCCGCTGATGGTGAGCTGGTCTTCGAGAAGCTGTCGTCTTGTGCGCACATTCTCCATCGCTTCTCCTCGCTGGCCGTCTACAAGAGCTGGGTGCTACAGCTGATCGATGCCTTGGACTGCCTGCACTCCCTCGGCATCGTTCATCGGGACTTACGAATCGCCAATCTTCTCTTCTCAGATGACGGAGTGCGCCTGATTGTCTGCGATCTCGAAAGCCGCTTGGGAGAGCGGAGGGCCCCCGAGGTTGCCTTCCAGGGTGGCCTCGAGGACTCGGGGTGGACCCCCAAATCCGACATCTTCGACATTGGGAATTGCATCAAGAGCATGGTCTACGCAAATCACCCATACACAGAGTTTGTTGAATGGCCTGTCCCATCTCCGCTCCAGGCTATAGTTGAAGCGTGCATGCGTCCCACGCCGGAGGAGCGTCCGACCCTGAGCGACCTGCGTCTCATGGTGGGAGAAATTCAGGCGTGAAGGAATCGCGGCACATTAGGCTCGGAGTTTTAGGCATATTTCGATGTTTTGGAACTCAAAGTTTTGTACGGCTTGCCTTGGAGGGATCGAACGCTGATAGCTCCTTATACTTTCGGCACGCCCAAATAGCCATTCCTTCTGCGTATTAATCTTGCTGACGTGTTTTGTGCGAACAAAGGCAGTTACCGTTGGTCGTCTTGTTCTTATTTGGGTTTCGACTTGTCTGTAACACATTTGCAGAATCTAAGTAAAGTACCGCCTGGATGCCCGGACATGAGATGCCACGGACTGCAAAATATGCATTCCTGAAAGCCAGCCAGAGGTCAACTGTTGCTTCCTGCCTAGATCGCCTTGCGTCCTCGATTTGGGCTGATCAGCCTTGACGATCAACATTGACGGGCGACGCAACAGCACTCCTCATTTGGCTTACGTAGTAGCCCGTAGTCTCGCAGGCCGACCGGGACAGCATCACAAATAGTAGACTGCATGAGTTCAGCCACGCTTCCAGAAGGCTCAGCTTGGTTTTGACATTGGTTAATTATAAGTTTATTAATCGAGACACTCTCTCACTTAACTAGGCATCCTATAAGACCTCAATGAGCACGCGGCCATACCGCGTCAACGGGAATTGCCCATCATCAGTGGCCTGCGCAATGACTGATATAGTCTGCCCGCTCTTCGTGTCCGCAGGCACCCTGACAGTCACACTGTCGTCAGCCGCCCCAGTAATCTCCACCTTGCTTGGATACGTCCCTTCTTCTAGGTACTGCCACCACGAAACCGTCACCTCGTCCCCGTCCGGGTCGGTGGTCTGCGCAGATAGCTTCACAGCCGACCCTGCGGCCGCCTTGAAAGTCTTCGGCCCGGCGATATTGATAGACGGCGCGTGGTTTCCTTCGGCATACTCGGAAGTAAGCGTCCACTGCATGCGCGCCGCAAAGTCATTCTGCGCAGCAGCAGCCCAGCGGTCCGTCGTCCAGTTCTCGACCTCGCTCCCGTTCCGGCCCACCTCCTTGTCGACCAGCACCCACAGGTCCGGGCTCGTGCTGTTCTGCTTCCTCCTTCCGCCCCAGCCGCCGATGGTCAGGTCGCTTGGGTCCTGGAGACCCGTGTTGAGGAGGTTGTTGAAGACTACGTTGTCGCCTTCGGAAAGGAAGTCGTACTTCTCCATGGGCTTGCACCAGCCATCTGGGGCCTTTTCTGGGTCGCCGAAAATATCAAGCTGGTCGCCTCCCCCGAACGTCGTCTGGCCGTCCAGCCATGAGCGGTACAAGCTACCGAGAGGCCCGGTCTGAATATTTTCTTTGATCCACGCGCCCTTGTAGTAGACATTGTTGTCCGGCAGCCCGCGGATGTTGCCTTGACCCTGGTTGCAATTAAAGCCCCAGGTGGCGTAAGCTGCCGAGAGTTCTTCGACGCGGATTGCGGGCCAGTTCGGTGCGAGGTACTCCGCATACGTGTTGTCCTGGAAGCCGCTGGCGAGAATGACAACCTTGCTGGAGATTTTGGCCTTAGTAGCGTTCCAGGAGGGCGAGCTGGACTGCTCGTCGGAGATGGACTTTAGCGCGCGGGCGATGGTATTTGTGCCACCCCAAGCTTGGAGGTAGAGCGTCCGCGGGTCCTCGTCGAAGATGAGCTGCTTAATCAAGTCCGAGCCCTCTGTGTCCTTGGCCATCTCGCCGTCGAAATCAACGTTGCCGACTTTGGTGATCGAGGCTAGTGCTTCGGGCGTCGGGTAGGTTGGGTCATGCACGCGCAGGTTTGGATAAACTTCTGCATATGCTTTCAGGAGATAATCCTGGATGGTCGTTATTCCGGTCGGACGCCATGATGTCTGCGGAGTGTCGTACTCGCGGTCCGGCAGGAAGAAGGATGTGTTCTTGCCGTCTCCCTCCCAGTGGAACTTGCTGGATGTGTAAATCAGGCCTTGGTTCTCGAGGTCGTTGGTGTACAGGATGTATCTGACGAGCGAGGCCAGGTCATCAGATTCCATGTCCGTTGTCACGACAGTGCGAATCTTGTTGGTCGTGGAGATGGCACGGCCGAGAGCGCCTGGTAGCACTGAGGCCGCGAGGCCATGCGCCATCAGTTGTTGGAAGCGCATCTTGACCAACTGCGACGGCTCAGTTGTATGACTTCACCAGGATCAGATTTGTAGGCCAAGTGTGCTTGCGACCAAGGCCAGTATGTCTCAAGGTCTATAGCCTCAGGTCTTTGACCAAATGCGGTTGCCCTTTATGCAGGCAGTACAAATATAAGGGGCAAGTCTAGGTTGAAAAGTCCTCGCCAGGACATGACAGACTCTGCACTCTACGTAAAAGATCCGTTGATCGGTGCCATGCGGACTTCCCGAGCCATCGGTATCCAACCCAGGGGGGCCCAAGACCATCGCGGCGGCCATCATTCCGAATTGGGACAGGCACAAACAAAAAACATGCACTTGCGGTGGACCGGTCGACAGATGAATGTCCACCTCCTCGGCCAGCTTTCCCTGCCCACGTGCCCGGTTGCATGCACATTGCGGGGCCAAATGCGGGGAGCACTCGTGATAATCAGTCCCGGATTGTGGGAATCTGGGGAGACTGTGGGGATGACGGTGCTCACGGCTTCGAGCAGCAGGGGTGGTGAGGGTTCCTCTCGGCCCTTTTGCGGGCTCCCAAAAACCACCGGATCATCACGCTGCCCGTACTATCGGAAACAATTTTATATTCAGACTGTTTTCCCAGCTTGACGAACACCTGATCCGAATGAGTCGATATTGTGCAAGTAATTGACTGCTGCTGAGGCTAATTGTGCTACGGCAGCATTGCTCTTAGAACTCCCAATGACTCGGGTCATTACGACATGGCGAGCACCAACGGACTGCTCTGGATACCTAGCTTGTGAAAAGAATTTCGGATCACCTCGTACACAGGTTGGGGGGGGGGGGGTAATTCTGTGCGCCCAACTACAAGCCATACTTGACCCGGATTACAATGGTCTGGTGCGGGCACTGAAAGCATTCCCATATTGTCTCATACGGTCCAATCACCTCGCAACCACTTGAGTCAACGGGACTTACCTTAACTGAACAAGGCATGAAGAGTGCAATGTCGATTGTCTCCATTGTAAGACATGAGCATCACTTTAGACTTGGAATCCCAATCTATCATTTATTGAGCGTATAATCAATGTGGTTTCGCTTCTATTCCGTACACGTCCGAGGACATACATGGCGCCTTCATACGGTGGTAAGCACTCAAGACCTCCGGATATCTAAGTAGTGATCAGGCGGGCAGTGTCCACAACTGCTGAAGTGCATCGGTAATGCGAGGACAAGCTGACCACTCGTCTTCTTCGTATAGAGGACTTTGTGAGAATAGGACGCTTTCGCGCCCGTGCGTCTGGACAGTGATAGATCTTGTACCTGTTTTAAGGACTGTGGTTGAAAGTAGTCTAACTCTTGGTTTCTCATCGCCGGCATGGCGCCGTATCGTGATCTGTAGTTCTGGAGGCCATGCAAGGGAGTGCAACACCGTAAATATTGCGGATCCTTCAGTACTACCAAGGACAAGTTTTAAACGTGGTTCATATGCCGTGATATGCTTGCTTGGTGTATAGGGACCTGGGCATGTATGACCCCCATTGAGATGTCGCTCTGAACACCTACATTAGAGATTTCCGGGCTCCTGCTTCATGCACACGCGAATGGCGCGAGCAACAGTACTGCCCTGCAAACTTAGACCTTTGAGCGTGAGACAGATGTGGTCACGCTCGCTGCTTGGTACAGGTACAGTTAGGTGACCCCAATTATTTATTTGTATGACCGGCCTTGGGGTAAAAACTAAGGACATGTCCGTGAGGGCGAGTGCCGAGTATCACGGGGGTCTGAAGGACCGCTCCCGCAAGTTGACCGATACCTAGCCTGTGCTGTAAACTCGACGTTCATCAGGGCCAAGGTGTTACAGGCACCGCCTTGATCGTCTGCACGGCATGCGCGTTTGCCCTCGGAGAATCATCCGTCCTCAATGTTATGAGTGGTGTGCCATTTCCCTCAGCCGGGAAGTGCAGGTATTGCTGCTGTCCCCCAAAACTCAGGGTCACCTCGCAGGTCGCTGCATCAATAGTCGTGACAACGAAGTCCTGAGTGTTCTCTGCGCGATCTGGGTTCTCCTCAAAGTAACTTTCCATAACGAAGTACATCCCGAGGCCGCCGTTGCTAAGAGTAAGAGCGTATGCATGGCGTGGAGGGCGCTCAATCGTGCCAGGGGGTAGATTGATCTTGACAACTTCAAGAATTGTGTCATTGGTCAAGGCGTAGGCATCACTCGAGTCGTAGGGGAATATACGACCCCGACCACCGCTGATGGTATACCTCGTTCGATACCTTTAGAGATTTTCTTAAGTGAGTGTCTCTTACGCTGAGCGTCGATGCCAGTTTTGGCCAGGGCATGAAGCCGAGAATACTTACGGTGCAAGCCAGTATGTTGAATTGTCCTCGATTGTGAGCTGCAATGAGAATGGATTTGGGCAGCTGAATGAACAAGGCTATTAGTACCAGTTGACGCCAGGTTGAAAAGAGACTTTGGCTGTGAGTGAGCCATGAACCGCATACTCTCGCTTGATAAGGCCATGGGCTCCTTCACTTGGCGCAGCAATCGCTGCCGTAGGCAGCAGACAAGCTGCGATAATGCTGGCGGTGGTGCTCAAAATGGAGGTTTTCATGGTCTTTGTATGTCTGTCTGTCCTTTCAAGTGCCTTGAGTTGCAAGTTTGGGTCAATATTGGTGATGAGCAACGAAGGCGGGCTATTATTGTGGCTATTTCACCACTTTATATACTAATGAGTTTGTTCTGCCTTGGACACCTGAGCCTATCGGATGTTTGAAGTGGTCCTGGATCAACATCATTACGCGATGGATTCGTATATGCAAGCCCTCTTTCCTCCGCCAAGAATCTGTGGACACTGCCTAAATGTACCATTCTATTCTCAAATGCTTCGCTAATATCAAGTGATGCGCCAAGTTCCAAGCATCGGGATAAGCTGACCATGCTTAAGCGAATCCCTCGCCATTCCCCGTTCCACCTGCAAGGACTCCGAATCTTTTTGGGAATAAGCTCAACTCCGACTTGTTAAAGTGTTTTTCATTGCAATCGCAAAAGTATAGAACTGATAATAACGCGGTGGCGGTTGAGTTGTCCACACGATGTCCATTGACATGCCTAGCACTGTTAGACAGTCCGGTAACTCAGTATGTTTCGAACCTTATAGCAATCTTGGTCACAGTGTCTCCTGTTTGAAAAAGCAATATCTACTTTGTCAGTTTCATATTCGCCAGCAACAGGGGCAAAGCAGAGGACCGGAACAGGCCAAAAAAGACACATGCGACAGACATCGACGGCAGAGTGTGAACTAGTGCACAGTGCGGGAATGGAAGGCCGAGGTTTGGTAGGAAGCTTGAGAGACTGAGATAGGTACACCCTTTTTCTGAAATCTTCGAGTGACTGTGGCGAAGTGAGTAAAGGTGGACTGTCTATACCCTAAGACCCATGGACGGTCTAATATTCTAAATGTAGACATACTATACTCTTATATATATATAAGTGTGATAATATAAGTTAATAACTATTAGATTCTAAGTTTAAGTAACTTATAATTATAATTTTATAATTAAAGTATCTATTATATAATAGTTAATAGATTTATTTTAATTTTAAGTTATAAATTTATAAGTTTAAATCTTTATAATTTAAAAATCTTAATTAATTCTAATTAATTTAATATAAGGTTTTATAATATTAAAAGTAAAAGTAAGCTTTAATTTAATAAATAATTAAAAATAAATATTTATAAATCTTAAAAATTAATATTATATTATAAATTTTTAAAGTTTTTATTAATTATATATTAAATAAACTCTTTTAATATAAAGTTTAAAGATTTATAATTATAATTTTTAATTAATATTTATTTAATTATCTTATTTTATTATAATTTAATTTAATTTTTAACTTTATTTAAACTTTTCTTTAAATCTCTTCTATATTTTCTTCTTTAATAAAATTAAAAGTTTAAGTTTTTAAAATTAAATTTAAAATTTTATAAATTTTAATTTATTTTTAATTAAACTTATAATTCCTTAACTTTAAATATATATTAACTATTTTAAATAATTATAACTTTTTTAAAATAAAAGTTTATCTTTATATAATTATAAACTTAATTATTAATAATTATTTTTTTATTTATAAGTTATTAAAATTATAAACTTAAAGTAATATTATATATAATAATAAAGTATAATTATATTATTTAATTATATCTTAATTTAATAAATTAAAGTATAATAAATTAAGTAACTATTTTTAATACTTTTACTTATAATATAATAAAATAATAAATAAATATTTATTTAAATAAAGTTAGAATTTATATATATTCTATAATAATATAAGTTTATTAATTATTAGAATAATTAATAAAATAAATTAATTATTATAATCTTTTAATTAAGTAGTTTATTGTATTAATAGTTAATAGAATTTCTATAAATTTATTTTAATAATTAATTTTAAAGGTATAAGTTTAAGTAAACTAATATCTACTTATATATTTAATAAGTTAGTTTATATACTTAAAATTTTCTATTAATATACTTAATACTTAGTTTGAAATATAGAGTCTATATAAAACTATATATTTAATTAAGATTCTTTAAACTTTTAATACTTTAAATATAAACCCCTTTTAATACCCTTTTTAAACCCCTTTATTTTTACTTTTTAAAACCTTTTACCTTTATCTTTTAAAACCTTTTACCTTTATCTTTTAATACTCTTTTTAACTTATATATCTTTAAGTATATTTAAGTATTAATTAAGTATTTAAATATTAACTAAATATTAAAAGGTTAAAAGATAAGAAAGTAAAAATAAAAATTATACTCTTTTTAACCTTTTAATATCCTTTTTAACCTTCTAATTTTTTAAACTTTTAACTCTTTAATATTTAAATATATTTAAAGGTATATAGATTAAAAGGGGTGTTAGAGGGTTAGAAGGTATATTAAAAGGTATATTAAAAAGTATATTAAAAAAGGTGCTAAAAGGGGTGTTAAAAAAGTTATTAGAAGGGGTTTATATTTTAAGTATTAAAAGTTAAAGAAGAAAATTATTCTATAGGGTCTTTTAGTGCTAACTTAGAAAGTACTTATAAATATATAGGAGTTATTAAGAAAAGTAGGTATTAGGTAAGTGGAAAGAAAATGCTAGGTGTGTGGACTGACTTGCTGAGTGTGTGGACGCTAGCTCGGTTTAAGCCCCTATAATTTAAAAATCTTAGGTAACGGTAGAAGGATTAATTTAAGGAGTGCCTACTTATAGTAAGTAATTTAGGGTAGGTTATATATAGTTTATAAAGAATTAATTAGTTATAATATTATAAAGGTTTATTTAAAAAACTTAATTAAATTAATAGAAAGTAAATTATATTAAACTTTTATTTTATTTAAGTTTTTAAACCTTTTATTTACTATATATTAATTTAATAATAAGTAATTTAACTACTTTTAATTAATTATAACTTTATATTTTATTATTTTAAAATTACTTTTCTATTTAAATAGTTTTAATAAACTTTAATAAACTTTAAATAAAAATATAATAGTAGAGATTTATAAATTATTAGAATAATTAATAAAATAAATTAATTATTATAATCTTTTAATTAAATAGTTTATTATACTAATAGTTAATAGAATTTCTATAGATTTATTTAATATTCTTTAAAGGAATAATATTTTATTTTTATTTATTTTAATTAACTTATATTTATATTTAAATTATATAATAAATTTAATATATAATATTTAATAATATTAAAATTAAGTAATTTATAATTTATAATAATTTTAACTTTTAATATATTAATTTATATTAAAGCTAATAATAATAACTTAAATTAATATACTTTAATATATTAATATAAAATAATATCTTTTAATAATAAATAATATTATAAATATAAATTATAAAGTTATTATAAAGAATTTTATATAATAAATTTAATTAATTTAATTTTAAAAGATATATTTTATTTTAATTTTAAACTTTTATTATTTATTTTTAATTTAATAATAAAATTAAAAATATAAATAGTTTATATATTAAATATAAATAAATATAATTAGTTTTTATTTATTTAAAACTTTAAAAAAATTAAAAAAGTATAATAATATAAACTAATAATTATTAACTTTTAAATTTAAGTAATTTAAAATTATAATCTTTTATTTAAAATATTTATTATATAATAATTATAAAATCAAGCTAATATCCACTTACCTAGTAATTATATCCACTTACTTAATTCCTACTATCTACTTACTTAATATCTCTTTTAATATATATAGCTTATATAATACTATATATCTATTAAATCTACCTTATAATAACCTTAAAAATTATATATTAAATACTTTCTTACTATTATATCTCTATAATAAATATATTATTTAATAAAATAAAAAATTAATTTATATAAATTAAGTTAAACACTTATATATTTATTTTTAAACTAAATAAGAAATAAGAAAATTCTCCTTTTTAACTAAATATAATAATCTCTTTTATTTTAATATCTAATTATTATTTATTTTATTATTTTACTATTTTAATAATAATTATATTAATAACTATATAATTATAATTATATTAAATTTATAATTATATTAATAAAAATTAAAAAGATAATAATAGTTTATTAATTAATTCTACTTTTTAACCCTTATTATACTTATTAGTTATCTATACTCTATATATTAACCCTTAATAATAAAAGGATTAAATAATTTAAAATTAAAAGCTTAAATAAAGCTACTATATTAAATATTAAAGCTATATTTTATTAACTTATTAATAAATAAATAAAGATTTTATATAACTAATATTTTTATAATTTTAATTTATAAAATAATTATATTAAAGTATTAAATTATAATTTAAATCTTTTAAAAATTATTATATTAACTATACTTAATAAATATTTCTATATTTTAAATTAATAATATTATATAATAATATTTTTATAATAGATATTAAAGTTATAAATATTTATAAAGTAAAAGGATATTATCTATAAACCTAATTAATTAAAGTATATAAATTAATAATCTTTTAATATTATATTATTATAATTAATATTAAATACTTTACTATTAATTAATTAATTTACTTTTATTATAAATATTATATTAGCTAATAAAAAAGGCTTTAAAATCTATATATAAAATATTATTATAATTCTAAATTAACTCTTTTAATACTTATAATAAATATTAAATAATTTATTAAAAATATTATTAAGGTATTATTAATAAAAAATTTATTAAAAATAGTAATTATAATATAATTAAAATAATATAGCTAGCTATATATTTATATTATAATAAATATTATATTAATAAATAGATAATAAAAAGCCTTTAATAAAATAATATAGTATAATAAATATAATAAAAGCTTTAAAAACTATTATTAATCTTTATAAATAAAATAAAATTAATATAGTTATAATAAGAATTTTATACTTATTTTAAAATAAATAATAATAAGTTAAATTAAGCTATTTAAAAATTTATTAATATAAAATAAAAGGTAAATAAAGAACTACTTATTATTTTTAAATAATTAATTTATAAAAAAGTTTATAAATTTAATAATATAATTTTAAAATAAAATTAAAATTAAAGGTTATATATAAAAGGTAACTATTTATATAAAAAT